ACTGGTGAGTTATATAATACAAAATATTATTATTATTATATTTTATTTTTATATAGTTATCATCATATCAGTAGTAATATCATTGACTATTGTTATAATAATAATAATAACAGCAGTGTGTGTCACTGTGTTGGTGTATGTTGTGTATAAAAGGAACAGAAATAGTAAGATAATGGTAATATTTATTCATTATTATTCATTATTACAGGGGCTGCCTTATCTCAACACATAAGTACAGTACCTAATGCAGCATATGAAGATATTAATAAATTTAATAAATTAAATATTAATGTTAATCCAGCTTATGGTGAGGTGAGAGGAACAACAACTGTACAGCAACAACACGTGACTTATGAAGAAATTAATTTTTAACAATTTTATAAAAAAATATAATAACATATTTTATACTTTTAACTCAAATTAAAATTAATGTGAATCAATATCCTGGCCCTTTGCACTAATGCATGGTGTTGATTTGGTAAACATTCAGTATTGAACAGGGTATTTGAGAATTTGGCTTATTTAAAAAAATGGTCATAACTCAAAAATTTCAGCTCAAACTTTTTACATAGCATAAGTACATCAATATGCATCAGAAAATGTAATTAAGAAATGGACATTTGGTTAACATTTATTATTACATTTGGTTTGTTCATCATTGATGCTTTATTTACTTTCTTTGTTAACGGAATGCTAATATCACAAGTAAAAATTAATAATAATTCACACATTGCATTACATTCACATAATGTACATGTACTTGTAGACTCTTCCATTAGATATTAGCAGTATTATGCAATAGAACATTTGTTGAAGTGAAGAGATACGGTCGTCCTGTCGGCAAACCAAAGGAATTTAAAATGAGTTTAATTACAGCAGTGTGTGGGCGTGGTTAGTTATTAATGGTTATTATTAATTATTTATTATTATTTTAATTACAGGTCCAATGTGGCTTTGGTGTCTACCTTTTACTAAAGCAAGAATACCTGATCCTATCCCTCCCTCTGATATCGCTCTTAATCAATTTGTTGTTTAATTTATGGGTTAAAAATAATTAGTGAACCGACCATTAATTTATTAACATTAAATAACTAATTTTAATAAATGATTGCTCAGCCTACCTTAACTCAAAAGCTACACCCTTGGCATAGGCTATTTCAAATCTAGATGCTGTATTTAATTTTCCTTCTTTTGCTGCAGCAGTACATTTATTGTGCTAGTAAGTAGATATTTTATTTTTTCATTTTATTGTCCTTATAGATATAACGCTTCAGCCAGTGTCTATTAATACAACACTCAACTCTACTGTTGTCTTTTCTTGTGAAGGAACTGGTGATGAACTTAGTTTCAGAGTTAATAATGAACCAGCCACTAATACAGATGTTTTGGCTAAAGGATTTACTGTAACATCAAGTGGTACTGGCAATATAAGAGCAGAGCTACAAGCAATAGCTTATGAACATAATAATAATACTGAAGTGAGGTGTAGAGCTCTTACTGATGAACCTCTTCAGGTAGAGTTCAGTGATACAGCAATACTAATGATACAAGGTTAGCACTTGTGACTGTGACATTATTCATCATTTCTCCTTCAGGTCTATTGGCTAGTGTTGTTGATCTGGATTATACCTTTATTAATGGATCCAGTGTATTATTAACATGGACAGCTCCTTATACACTGGATAATGTACCTATCACT